TGCCAACAAATTACTGTTAATTTTATTAGATAATAATGATATTGGAATTATATAAGATGCCTATGGTTTTATAAGATATATAACAAATATGTAAGAGTTAGATGACATGAGGTCTAGGATTTATTTTAAAGTACTTTAGTAACAAGAAAGGAGGGAGGAATGGAGGGATGAAAAGAGGCAGGCAGGGAGGGATGAAAGAAAAACAAAAGAAATAAAGGAAAAAAAGGGATAAGGTTAAGAGTTTGGATCCCCCTACCAGCCAGCCACCAATAAAAAAAAAAAAAAAAAGAAAGAAAAGAAAGAAAAGAAAAAAAGGGATAGATAAAGCAAATATAGCAAAATCTTGATAATTACTGAATCAGGGAGATGGATATATGGGGTTTACTTATATTATTCTTTCTACTTCTGTTATTTTGAAAGTTTTTGTAATAAAGTTTAATTTTTAAAAAATTTAAAACCACCATGATCACTATATAAGGTATACAATTTCACACATCAAACAGAAGTCCTTCTGGGAGAGTCCAATGTTTTTTTCTAAATAATTTTAAAACACAAAACATCCCTATTTCATTATGTGAATGCTCCTGAGATTGTGAGAATATACCCTAGCAAAGAATAGAAAATACTGAATTCCAGTTCCCAATAACATCTTCATTTAAAATAGCACCAAAATAAATGGAATATGATTCACTGAAACTTATTACTAGCGGAAAGAAATGATGTCCCCAAGGCACTGAAACAAAATCCAAACACTGGAAGGGGACTTTAAACAACTTTAAAATGATGACCTCTGGGGGCAGAGGCAGGGATGAGATCAACATTTCTCAACGAATACTTCTTAACAATGTTTTGATTTTTTGGACCACATATTGCCTATTCAAAAATAAAATTTAATTTCAAATAAAATAATTTCAGAATTAACTTTATTCTTTTATGATTAATTGAACACTAAATCTTAGAGAAAAAATGAGCTGTTCTTTAAGATTTACCAACAGTCATTTATCCCACTATTTTACCGGATCAACCTTTGGCAGTTTTAAAACGTTAATTCTTCTCCTACTTCTAAATAGGTTCGTTCTTTTCTTTAGGCAGACATTTAAGGAACTTGAAATAAATCTGAGGTATTTAACATAAATGCAAAAAAAGTCCCTGAAGTTAACTAGGAGAAAAGCTCAAATCAAGGAAAGCCCCTTCTATTCTTCATTTTGTGTCAAACCACACATTTAAGTCTTTACTTGAAAGTCAATGAATTTAACAAGGATTTAGAAATCTTTGCTTTGTTCTACTCTTCTAACCCCAAACCAAAACTATTATATTTTCCCTTTCTTTTTCATCCATTACCTGGGCTTCTCTGCCCACCCTTGTCAATCAAGATTATTGCAACCTCAAACCAAAATTCAACATGCTACTTAAAACAGATGTTAAAAATTCCCAATTCTTACAATCCCTTCTGAGACATTTCTGCACCTCTCTACCTGGTTCCTTTACTGTGTTAATAGCCAAATAAATGAACTAATATTGAAAGTTTAATTAAAATAAGCTAAAGGCCCACGTGGCTAGCAGGCAGGTCACACTGCGTTCCCAGCACAGCTGGTGATTTCATGGAATCAGTGAGCAGGAGGGAAGGCTCCATCAACAACTGAGCATTATTACAAAGGTCCCCAGAGGGTCACACTTTCCACAATGTGCTAGATGAAAGACGTCATTGAAAAAAACGTGACATTCGCTTTCCAAAAAAACTCATCACTGGATTGCCTTTTTTTTTTTTTTTTTTGCTGGCCAGTACAGGGATCAAACACAGACCTTAAGCTGCTTTTAATAGTGATTTGCAATTACTGGTTTAGATACAGGCTTGAATAACGGCTATGAATAATCTGTATTCACTGACAGCCTACAGTGTGTGTTCCACAGAGCTTCAAAATACAGCTGACAAGACACACATGACACACATGAGACAGAATTATGTCCACAAGAGCATGTAATTAGCAGGTTGACCATGCGGCACACAGGCTGTGAGCACAGTGGAGCCAGGGGCTGCATGAGGCTAGCACACACCTGGCTGCTTGTGGACACTCAGCAAGATTTCATAGGTGTGTACTACAGACAGGGAAGGCAACAGGAACCCTACTGCTCACCAGATACACGTTCTGTCCCTGAGACAGACAGGGAGCTGGCTGGGGGACAAATGCCAAAAGAAATCATTAAAATAAACCAATAAAGTCTGGTTCTGGGGAGTTCCCTACTACTCCTTACTTGATGCTTCAATAATGCATAGAAACAAAAATATTTTAAAACTTAATACCAAACAAATAAATATATTATCATGTATATGCCAACATGGTTTAATGAGGAAAAAGACAAAAAAAACCCACATATTTTCTTCTATTACCTAGAGCAATCTTAACTCTCTTAAACTGCTTATCTCAAAACTAACTGTAAGAGAAAAATGTTACAAATTATTAAAAGATAGGATTCCGAGATTTTTTAAAAATTCCTATTGGGCACATAAAGTTGCTTGGGATATAAACATTTTAAAATATGTTCACCTTGAACAGACCTCTATATTTCTTGGGTTTACAAGTAAATATAAAAATGACAGAAATAGGGCATATTTGCATAGAAAAAAAAGACAGCTACTACTTGGCCACAACATAATAAACACAGGAGAATACAGAAGCTGGAGAAGTGCTTCAGTCTACTTAAGTTTCTCAAGATGGCGGAATAGACAGTCCCCAGCATCACTCTCTCCCACAAATCAACTAATTTACAGCCAAGCTGTGGCTGCTAGAGCTCAGGGAAAGAGGAGGAGAGACCTACGGAGTGCATGAAGGTGGGAGAAGCCATGATGAGAGAAAGACCATTTTGTGCTGCAGCCACTTTAAGGCTGGAGCTGCTGAGCGTATGGAGCAGGAGCCGGCAGAAGCCGTAGCTGTGCCCTTTGGATGGGGTTGCTTGGAGACAGCAAGGGAGAAGAGGGCCTTGGTGGCCCCTAGGCCAACAAGACCATGAATAGGGTTCCCATGGACGCACATAGGAGCAAGGCGCCACAACAACTGAACAAAAGGAGCCACTCAGAGGCTGGTGAGTCACTGCAAGGGACTGGCGCACAGCCCGTCCCATGGGAAGTTTTTGCAGCACAGGCGGTGGGGGAGACGGGCCCACTGGGGGAACCTTGGGGCACAGCAAGGACAGCTGACCAGCATCCCAATCAGCAAAAGACCACTCAGAGGAGACTGGTCAGGAATACAGAATTGCATGGGTGCAGTTTGATGAAAAGACTCAGGCCCAGATCAGAGTTTCTACACAACCCAGGTGCACGGGTCTCTGAAGAGCTGGAAATACCTATAAGGTCAACCATTAAACCCTGAGCTACACAAAAAGCCTTCCCTAGGGAATCAGCAGCAAAGCAGCAATTTATTTTTTTTTTTTATTTTTATTTTTTTCCTTTTTGTCTTTTTTTGTGACCAGCAACAGATCGCAACCCTCGGTGTTGCGCCTGCACCTCGCTCAGCCAGTGAGTGGCCGGTCTGTATGTGGGATCCGAACCCTCGGCGGGAGCGTCGCCGCACTCCCAAGTGGCATACTGTAGCAGTGCGCCACCGGGCTGGCCCGCAAAGCAGCAATTTAGCTAAACCATAGAACTCAAGTACTGGTCCCCACAGGAAGTTCCCCCATTTTAGAAAAAAGCAAAGGACAAAAAATTAGTCCCGGCCCAGGCATACTTCCAGCGCCTCAGGGCCTGCCCGGGGACCTGAGGCATGGATCTGGGGACCTGAGGCATGGATCTGGGGACCGGACCCCCCCTCCCACAACCAGGCACACCAACAGTGCCTTAGGGGCCTTCCCAGGGTCCTGAGGCCTGAAGCCAGAAATGGGAACCCCCCCCCACCACAACCAGGCACACTGCCAGTGCCAAGGAGCATGCCAAAAACATCACCTGCATGTGGGTGGTCCACCACAGCCACCACAATAACCACGGCTGCTGCAAAAGTGGCTAGATGCCACAACCACCACGCAGATGGTCTGCCAGCCACTGGAGTACATTGACACAAGTAGAGTCACCAGCAGAGACCAAAGAAAACAAGAGGATGTCTCTCTCCACAAAGGCCATTTCAGAGTGACAGAAGCAGCAGGTGCTCTACAATAATATTGGGGGACCTGAACACACCTCTCAGCATTGGACAGATAACCTAGGCAACAAATCAACAGAGTAACCATTACTCTTTCAGAAGGAGAGAAGAAATCTAGGGTTATCAGAGGTGGGAAGTGGGAGGGGCAGGGGGATAGGGAGAGATTGGACAAGGGGCATAAAGAATAAGTACAATTTATAACAATATATTTGCTAGTAATATTGGTTTGATCAACCTATGTCAACGTTGAACCCCCAAAATATGTATAATCAATTATGATTTAATAAAAATTTTTTAAAAACTACTTGTTTCTGAAATCTTTATTTACATCCTTCCAGATGTGCCAATAATGTATTGACAGTATGTCCAAATAAAATTGAGCAAACATAAGAAAATCACATAGCACCATGAAAAACATTGCTTTATTCCTTCATCGTTTTCAACAAAACTGCTAAGCATCTTCCCCAAGGCCAGTAAGGGGACACAAGGATTCTAGCAAATTTCCAGCTCCCAAACGCCCAGTCTACTAAGAGAACCAGGAAGCTGCAAACAAGGAGGGTGGGGGAGGGGTCAGATTCTACATACCAAGGGGAAATATTTAAGAGTTTAAAACAAGGAAATGACACAGTCGGTCAAAGAACGGGCCAGTGGGGGAGGGGTAGAGTATGCTACTGTAACTAAGAGCATAGCTTTGCAATCCAGATGAAAACATAGGTGGGCAGGAGCTGACCAGGATGGCAGATGGATGGAGGGTAGTGTGGGCAACTGAGTGGATGACGGTAGTTGCACAATTAATGTACAAAAAAAATGCTCAATAAATATTAGTTTCCTTCTTCCTTCTTACATACGGGTGTTTCTTAAAAAACTCACCTCTCTGCACGAATCACACCACTGTAGTAGGGGGGATCCCAAGGCATTAATTCCTACAATGGAATAATTCACTGTTATGAAAGTATTGACCGTTTCATAGTTTTTATCAGTAACCTGTTCAGCTTATAAAATGTAAACCAGTTACTGTTAATGTAAATCAGAAAATTTTTATAAAAATTCTAAAAATTCATGGCTTGGCAGGAAATACCTGCCTCCTTATTTTGACTTTCCTGTAATCAATGGGTAGAGAAGTATAAATAAGGCCTTATTCCAGAATTTGAGGAAAAAGTAAATAAATGTTATTCTAAAACGTAAACTAACAAAAGTCAACATTTGTGGATTAAACGAGCCATGATGAAATTTTTGCCAAAATGCAACCCATACATTAATCCATAAAACACACAGCAGATAAGATTAGGGTACTAAAGGTAAGATTAGGGTTCTTTCTAAATCTAAGCAATAAACTTAGGGTAGATCCCCAAAATGAAAGCAACAATTTAAAAATGTAACTAAGGCAGAATTAACTCTAATCTTGGCAAAGAAAATATGATGAAAACAAGTATTACAGTAATAGTCATTTTTGATTACTGGTACAGAATACTGAGAGAAGGGAAAGCTTGAACACCTGAACAGATCGTCCTCCCCAGAAGGTGTCCAGGTGACGTTAAGAGATCAGGCTGTGAAGCCAGACCGCCTAGGTTCAAATTTTCAATCCATACCAGACTGTGAGCTTCATGTGGACAGGGACTTTGTCTGTACCTGAACAGCACTTGGCCCATGGAGGTCACTCAATCACTATTTGAATGAATCAACAGCACTTCCCAAATAGGATTGTTAAACGCACTTCAACTGTTAAGCAGAACACCTGGCACGGAGTAAGATGTTGGCTGCTCTCCTAATTCCATTCTCCTTTAAAATTTCAGCTTAGGTGCCATCTCCTCCCATAACAAGGTGTTCTTTCCTCTATTCCATGATCACACTTCCATCACAGGATGTATGACAATGTAAGACACTTGTAGGCTTAGTGTCCTTCTCCCCATGAGCACCTTCAGGAACAGAGACTGAGTCCCTAGAACTCTAACACCCCAGCATTCAGTTCCCAGAGCACATTTCCTCTAAAAGATGATTTTTACTATCTCTAGATGCCAGACAGAGTGCAGGCTCTAATGACACAAAAACAAATAAGCCATGGTCCTGGTATGAAGGAGCTGATGGTGGAGGCAGTAGAAAGACAGGTGACTCAACACTGAGAGAACACCATGTCATGTCTAGGGTGCTGTGTCATGTAAAACACAGGCCCTGAGAAAGACGGGCATTTAAGTAACAATGGACAGTCTGGAAATGTTTTGGAGGAGGTGAAGCCTGCATAGAGTTTTGAAGAATAGGAGCAGTTAATCCAGATGAAAAGCAGGAAAGGCATCCCTGTGGACAGTATCTGCAAATGAGTAGAAGCTACCTGCCATACCAATTTATGTGGCTGGCACATAAACATCATAATTACAGAATAAAAGAAGCAAAGCAAGGGAAAGAAAGTAAAAGCAAGTGAAAAAAGCACATGAGCATCACACAGGTATTAGTAGAGAGCAAACAACACTGACTTGGCTCAGAGTGCAGCAGAAGATAAGGCTAGAGAAGTAGGCAAGGCCAGATCATGCAGGGCCTGGGGAGAGAAGTAAGAAACAGGAAGAAATCTGAGAATTACAGGAAGCCACCAAAAAATTTCAAACAAGAGAGTGGCAAGATCAGATCTGCTTTTTAGAAAAATCCTTCTGAAGGCAACTCATTCATCCATTCATTCACAGTTCAAATAAGGTTGAGTTCCTACTCTATGCCCAGCATGGAGCCAGGCACATTGCTAAGCAGTCGGAATGGAGTCAGATGGTTTTGAGGCATGAAAGAACAAAAGGCGAGAAAGCCAGTTGGACAACTGCAATTATAATCTGAGTGGACGTAATAATGACTCCAACCAAGGCTGTGGCAATGGGCAGGGGAGGAGAGGACAGAGCTGCTGGGAAGGTCAAATCTGCAGGACCCAGTAACTGGTTATAGGTAGGGCATGTGAGCCACCTGCAGGGCCTGGTGACACTCAGTTGTGGGGCTCACCCCAGAGTTTCTGATTCAGTGGGTCTGATGTGGGACTCAAGAATTCGTATTTCTAACAAGTTCCCAGGTGATTCTCCTGCTTCTGGTCCAGGGACCACACTTTGAGAACCACCAGTCTCGAGGAAGGGCAGGTTCTGGCTAGGAGAGCAGGGTGAATGGCGGTACCATTCACCAAAACACAAACTTCACGAGATGATCAGGCACTTCACAAATATCTGCAGAGTAACCTGTATCAATAAGCTACACAAAAACATCTAGAGAAAAGAGTTTCAAGTTACATTAGCTTTTCCTGAATTACCTTTTGGCAACATGTTTTATTTTTCATTCTTTCTGTTTCTATATTCACCAAACTAAATTCTGATCCATTATCTAGTTTCCTAAGTGGACCTACCTATCAGCTAAAGTGCTTTGCTAAAGAGCTCCTAAACTAACAGACTGACATGCTACTCTATAAACTGCTAAACTTGATAGGATTCATCTATTTCTTAGTGGTCGTACCTCAGAAGCTGGTAAATAGTTTCTAAAGCTGCAAGGCTCACTTCCCTAAATCTTCCCTATGACTATGGCTTTGGCAGTTGCTACCAAAACAAAAATAATCAATAACAGCACCCACAAAAGAATGGTGACGACAGCCCCAGCAGTCCCGTAGTGCCCTCAACCAAATGGGAATAAGTGCTACCACCTGGAATCAATCCCATCACTTTTCAGGGCACCCCCATCACTTGGGCAGCATTCTGGTCATAAGGACACTTAGTCTACACTGTAAGATCACACTTGTACTTGTCAGATAATATAAACACAAGACCTTGTGATTGAAAACAACACTTAAGTGTCTTTAGAATGGGGTATACCTTCTCAGTCAAATATTGATCTACTTAAATAAGCACCATAAATTATCAAACAAACAAGTAAGTAAACTGCAACGTTAACATGACGAGTAAAATGCCACCTGCCACACGGAGTCTCCACTGAGCCCTGTGACAGCCTTGTCAGACAAGAAGTCAAATTCCACAGAATGGAAGCATCCTTGACAGGAATGTTTATTCATTGTGTTAATGCACATTTATACCACACATGCAAACACACACACTTATATGATACGCCAACTAGTCAACAAAAATGCTGCATTTCCAGGCAACACCAGACTCGGACACATGGATCAAACAAATATTTCAATGTCTTTACTCACCAAACTAAGAATCAGAAACAAGACTACAATGAACATCCAGCATATCAAAAGTTCCAGAATCAAAAGGTAATGATCTCAGTTAACAGATTGTTTATATTATAATAAAAATATTCTAACATGGTTACTTACAGAATTTTGAGGATTTAATTTCATTTTCATCCTTCGTATCATCTCAAAATCTTTTATAGTTCTGTAAAACAAGTTATCATTATATGTTAGATCAAAGTTTTAATAGTTACACATTATTAAAAAACTATCTTGCTTATGTTACTTTCCAATATTCACGATACAATTACATCTAATTAGTATTGCAAAGATACATCAGTATCAATCCAAATTTTACATAAGCATTAGGAGAAACAACATTGAATAAATCAGTATATAACTGCAATTTCTACCTTAAAAAGCATCATGAAGGATATGTGTTGAAACCACTAAAGACTGAAAAAACTAGCAATGTTATAGAAACATGCAAAGCATTAATCAGCAAACCTTAAATTATTACTTTTTTGCTATACCTTAAAAACATCAGAATAAACAAACTGCTTTCTATAAAAGAATATTAACATAGATTATATTTAAGATTACCAGACATAATTTTTCTACTACAGAAAAACTCTAGCTGGGCAATAATTAAGTAGACACTTAATATTTGTAGGATATGACGTGGCTGTTAGAATGAACTCCTATATATAACTATAAAATTATGAAGGTATGCTTGCTCAAAATATAATCTATAGGGCCGGCCCAGTGGCGCACTGCTACAGTGCGCTGCTTGGGAGCATGGCGGCGCTCCCGCCGAGGGTTCGGATCCCACATACAGACCGGTTCCCGCTCACTGGCTGAGCGAGGTGCGGGCGCAGCGCCGAGGGTTGCGATCCCGTTGCCGGGACAAAAAAGTATATATATATATAATCTATAGTTACATACAAGTGTAGGAAGAATATACCGACCCTACACCAACAAAGCAAAATAGAATAAATTCTCAAACAAATGCATAATCAAGCTTCACTCTTCACTATATCAAAGACACAATGTTTCACTGGGACTATTAAAAAATAATTTTAGAATTTATAAACATAATCCAAACTAGAGAGGAAAGGGTCATAAGGCACGAGTTTATAATTCAAAACACAAAGTGGAGCTAAAATTGAAGGTGCTGGTGTAGTCAAGAAAAGGCAAACAAAATTTTAGACAGCCTTATAAGAAAGAAAAGAAAAACATCACTCCTTTTACAAACCATGGCGTGCCTCTTCCTGGAATCCTAGGTATCTAGAGGCAGCCACGTGCTGCCCTCGGCTGAGCACAAGAATAGGCCCAGGGAAGGCAAGTGCCAGAGCGAAGGGACTGAGCAGGGGTGGAGTAGGGAAGGCAGGAGTGCAGCCGAGGGACCGCCAAACATGGCAAAACACTTAAATACACAAAATCAAAAACACAGATTAATCACCACATGCATGAGCCTCAGGTATTTAGGCCAAATGAAGAGAAATACTACTTAATAAACTTTTAGTAATGTTAATGGTATAAGTTAAAATAAATAGCTTCAAAAAGGTTTTTGAAAAATTTTGAAGTTACACATGAATGATGGGTTCCTAAAGACAACTGGGTCATGAGAGGGGACTGCCTAAATTTTCAAGATTGGCACCTGAAGAAGACAGCTATATCCTTCAAGTGCGTCTCCTAGTGAAGATCTGCCGAACAGCCCACAGATCCGACCCAATACCCAACACTAACAGGTCATCTCTTAATTTTTTATATATCAAGTCTTTTTTAAAAAACCAAATAACTAAAAAACTAAGTAGTAGAGTAAAAACTAACCTTTCAGAAAGTTTGTCAGATAGTTTCTCAAGAAATTGCATGACAGTCTCTAAAAATGAAATGCAAAAGAAAACGTCTTTAAATACATAAAACAAAATGAACACAACCTGTTAAAATTATAACGGGATGATCATAATCTACACACTGCAGCTCCCTTAGGACGATGATTTTCAAAGGGAAGAAGGGTTACTAACATATACTAGACATATAATAAACATTTCTAAATGATGATAATCTCTTAATCAGAAAAACAAATTGGCACAGTAAGAATCCAAAGCCTTAGATAACACGTCAAAATTAAAAGAATAAAAGGCTGAAGAAAAAATTTTAATGTGTTGCTATCTGTTCATATGTGTAAGAGAAAAAAATAAGTTTCTGACACATATCTGATTTTTTTCTGTTTTAAAGAGATAGCTAGACTCTGATTTGTTCATAAAAATCAGCACAGTTTAGAAGTATAGTTCACTGAAACTTAAATTTTAAATATCAATTTTTTCTCAGTAACTATTTTTATTTTTATATACCACTGTAGAATAATCTATTCTGGATCAATACTGAAAGAAAACAGAGCAAAATTAAAACATCAAAAATTTAAGTTCCGATAGAAAAATTTTATAAGTACTTATTAAAATACTTCAGCCATAGTCATTACAGTTTACAAACCCATAAAGGCAACGTAGTAGAATTACCACCATTTCCCATAATAGAAAATGTTTCATGTGTATTTTTGAATTTAGCACTTTTTGCCACTGACTCATGTGTATAGAGCTTTTTGTATGTATTTTAGTCTGCCGCAACGTTGTTTTTATATTTTCCACATGGTCTTTTATGTGGTTTTAAGTTTCTTGCCCTCTCTTTAATTTCTTTCCTTTCTAAGTGAAATAAAAGGCTAAGGAAAAATGGATGTTAATCTAAACCAAGAAGCCATGGGGTTTTTTTGCCACTGTTGTTACTTAACAAGTCTAATATATGCCAATTCTGAAAACACTGCCTCCTGTGCCCTATTCAATGGTATTAGGAATTTCAGAAACAAACTGGTTAGTTAAAAAATGAAATTTTATTTCAGGATATCGTACCAGCTGCCATACAGAACTTTTTTCAACTAAATCTCATGTATGCTTCTTATTTCTTAATAACCATGTTTACTAACACTCACCCATTTTATTTTTCTAGTCACCTTATATGTGAGGAATCTATCTCAATTAATCTACCTGGAAAACTTTCATATTAAAGACTGCATTTGAAACCCCCTGAAAATAAACGAACGCCTGACTGCCGTTATTTCCTCAGTCACCTGCCACGTGAATGCCGCCTCCACCTCGCCTGCCTTTTCCTGCACCCTGCTCCGCTCTGCTGAAGGCTCACCACCCCTTCACTGTGCCTGTCACCTTTCACCTCCCTCCTGAGACCTTCAGCAGCCACACAAGCATCTGACCAACTGCCCCAGCTCCTAAAACCCCATGGCACTCTTCTGTCTACACCGTTCACTTGGCACTGGAAATATGCTAACCTAGATTATGATCTTTATATGTCTATATCTGGGCTCCTCAACTAGGTTTTAAATCCCAGGGCCGGCCCGGTGGTGCACTGCTACAGTGCGCCGCTTGGGAGCGCTGCGACGCTCTCGCCGAGGGTTCGGATCCCACATACAGACCGGTTCCCGCTCACTGGCTGAGCGAGCACCTCTTGGGAGTGCTGCGACGCTCTCGCCGAGGGTTCGGATCCCACATACAGACCGGTTCCCACTCACTGGCTGAGCGAGGTGTCGTATAACTTCGTATAATGTATGCTATACGAAGTTATTACGTACTTTGTCTCGTGACTTTAATAAAGACTCAAATCTCTCTCTCCAGCTCAGAACTCTCCAGGTATACATCTCACCACCTACTCAACATCGCCACCTGAACGTCAACTGAAATCTCAAACTTAACTTGCACCAAACCAAGCTACTGGTCCTCCCCATCTTCACAGAGTAGCTAACACTGTCTTTCTAGTTGCTTAGGCCAAAAACTTTGGCTCTCTCTTCAATATACTATATTTCCAGAATCTGATCATGTCCTATCGCCTCTACTGCCACTGCCCTGGTCAAGATGCCATCATTTCTCATCATGATTAACGAAAAATAGCTTCTAAATGGTCTCTCTTCACCCTCAGCCCCTTCTTATGCCTCTGCTTGGAAACTTCTTCCCCTAGAGAGCCAAAGACTCGCTCCCGCACCTCCGTCAAGTCTATGCTCAGACGTCACATTCTCGGCAAGCCCTCCATGACGACTCTTTAAAATTGCACCCCCACCCCCACCTGCTCACATTCCTTACCCTTTCCCTATCCAAGTTCCTCCACGGCTTCTACTAACTAATGATATACCGTTTACCTACCCACTTATTTTGTTCTTCTGTCTTCCCTCACAAGAATGTAAACTGTAGAAGAGGAATTTCCGTCTGCTTTATATACTGATTTATTTCTAGTGCCTATAATATCTGACATACAGTAGGTACGAAGAAAATACTGTTGAATGCATGAATAAAAATAGAGGATACAGGTGATATAAAAGATAGGGCATCTGGTCTCCAGCAACCTATGAAAAACTATAAATTTAGAGTATGTGTTTAAAATACCTAGGAATAAATTTAACCAAGGAGGTGAAAGATCTCTACAACAAGAACTACAAATCGTTGTTGAAAGAAATTAAAGAGGATAACAGCTACCAAAAAAATAAAATACCTGGAGTATGTGTTTAGGTTTCAGTTCTGCCACTTTTTAGCAATAAAACCTAACCTTAGATTCCTTATCTATGACATGAATTCAAATACCTACTTCATAAGGCTGTAGAAGAATTAAATGACAGAGTAAGAACTGAATAAAATTCTAATATTACTATTTTATATAATAATAACATAATAAACAAATATAAAATTATGGTAGTATTATAATCAAACTGGTGACAACTGTGACTACAGAAAAAATCTATTCAGGGGCTAAATTACTTGAAACAGCCCCCCAACCTCTGCATCCAGCCCAGCGACCACCGAGCTGCTGCCGGAAGTCCCCCAGACTCCTGAGCCCAGATGGTGGGGGGGCTTGAGGGCCTTAGCCACACACCTCCCACCTCCGCACCCAGCCCAGCAACCACCAAACCACCAGAAGCTCCTCTGGGCTCCTGAAACAAATTGTTAGTGCTTAAAGAATTTGAGGACGAGGGAGTCTAGGAAAAGTGAAAAAGTTTAACAGAATTCATCAAAGAAGTAGGTTTTGCGCAAAGCACTGAAAAACTGGGAAGGATTTTAATAGACAGGCTGGGAGGGGGAGCTGGTCCCCATGTGGGAACAACACAGCAAAGCACCTGGTGGGAATGAGTGCGACGTGCCGTGGCAAACAGACAGCCTTCACAGGTCAAGGGAGATGGCTGTTTATGAAAGAGTGAGAAATAAGATTGGGTGGATTTAAGAGAATTTGGGGGAAGATATGAACATGCTAGAGAAAGAAGGGATAAACATGGAAGCAATGCAGACAGGGGAGAATTAAGGCTTGATCTCCTCCCACAGAGTCCCCTCTATCTGTGAATGGCATGTCCACCCAGACACACGACCAGAAACCCAGGGTATCCATTACACTGTTTCCTCCTCCCTCTCAACCCATCGCCAAGTCTTATAACTTCGCCCTTCAAAACATATCCTGGATCTAAACAGCTGCACCATCGCCACCACCCTACCGCTGCCTAAGTTACAACCGTAATTTAATAGCTGCCACTGAGAAAACGTGTTATATACACTTATATTATTATTATTGTATATAGTCCCCCTTATCTGCAGTTTCTCCTCCCATGGCTTCAGTTATCCATGGTCAACCAAGGTCCAAAAGTATTAAATGGGAAATACCAGAAATAATCCATTCATGTTTTAAACTGAGCAGCATGATGAAATCTTCCGCCATCTGCTCTCCTTGTCTGGGATGTGACTCATGCCTTTGTCCTGCATGTCCACACTGTCCACCTGATCACACTCTTATCACTTAGGAGCCACCTTGGTTATCAAATAGAAAAAACAGTGTATCTATAGGGCTCAGTACTATGCAAGGTTTCAGGTACCCGCTGGGGATCTTGAACATATCCCTGCGGATAAGGAGGGACTAGTGTGTAACATTTTCTCTTAGACATTATGAATCATAAGGCAGTGAACACAGCACAGGCTGAGTTTACGGCAAACTGGAGGAAAGACACTCCCTCCCACCCCCACACCACCAAGCACATCCCTTCCCAAGCATACTCTTCTCTCTGAAGAGGAAGTTTACAGGACTATGTATTTTTTATATGACTTACCCTACATTTAACCTTGAAATCAGTAAAAATATTGATCTTTCATCCTCTTAACCCTAATTCTAACAATTTGGTTACATTCAACACAGAAACTAGTTGAGTTAAAATGAAAATAATTTCAACTAGCATCAAAATTTAGGATTTACTCTCAACATGCACATGAATTAAAATAACTTGGTTGGACAAAACGTATGCCAAATTATATTAGCTCTGTTTAAAAACCATTCCTATGTAAAGATGTAGGAAAATCTCAATAAGTGGTTCTTTGAGTGTATTAAAAATAGAACACAATTTATAGCTGTTTAAAATCAGAAAACCCTGTTTTAATCCTTAAAAGTTAAATAAACAGCCTTACCTGGATTTTTAGCTATTGTTCCTTGAAGAGCCCTGTGGGAAAATGTAGAATAGCCTACTAACTTTGCCAGAAGATCTCTGTTGCTCAGCAATTCTTCTAAACATTTCAACTGACCAGCATTGGGATAGAGAAAAATTTTATAAGCAGCTTCTCGCACCTATATTTAAAAAGTAAATGGTAAAAGACATACATACCATGACACAAAGCCCTAGACAACAATAACATAGCCTAACTCTCACCACTTTATCTGCAGATGAGCATCTTTCAAGATAAAGCAATGGTCTACATAGGTATATAAAGCTTTCGGAGTCATAAAATAGTATGGGATACAAAAGCGTACTTGACTGGAGCTCTAGGATACTGTTCTGGGGTATGGTGAGACAAACTTTTAGCCAATGCACGTGTCTCTATGCCATAAAGCACCTGTAATCAGGTGAAGTAAAGACTCCATGTGTTAAAAAATCTCAGTAGTCCATAATGTCAATCATTGCTGTTATTTACTGTACTTTAAAAATGAGGAGTTCTGGGCCGGCCCGGTGGCGCACTGAGCTAGTGCGCCGCTTGGGAAGCGCGGCGGCGCTCCTGCCGAGGGTTCGGATCCCACATACGGACCGGTTCCCGCTCACTGGCTGAGCGAGGCGCGGGGGCAACACTAAGGGTTGCGATCCCGTTGCCGGTCCCGGTCCGGTACGGGGGCGACACTGAGGGTTGCGATCCGTTGCCGGACACGGAAAAAGACAAAAAAAATAAATAAATAAAAATGAGGAGTTCTTTATGAGACACAAGCAATTAAACCATTTTCATTCTTCAAAGAATACATGGAAGTAAGATCCCACATGTTAAATTTTTAGGGATTAGTAACATTAAAAGATTTTTGATTATTACATCATCACTAAACTTTGGGGTTAAAACAGTAGGAACACAGAAACGGGACCTAAACAATAAAGAGAATGAAACATACATACCAGGTCATCTGGTGCTTCTGCATGGAGACCATCAATTATTATATGATCCCCATCAGATACAAAGTTATGGCGAATGTGTTCTGGTAAGAGATTCTTCTCAATCTTGTTGGGAAAGTTGGTTCCCATAAGAAATGTACTACTCAAATCCAAAATTTTAACATTAAGGTCCACTGCTCTTTTACGCTGTATGTGGGGGAGTAAATGTTATTTAAAAGCATTTCAAATTAATATCTCAAAATTAATTTAACAGGCAATGTATAAAGGTAGCAAATTAACATATATGTTGCTAAACTGTATTTTAATAACATATTAAATATATTAAATAATAAAATGAATACATTGAATGTATTGTTTTTAATAAATGTATAACACAACATATTATATTAATTCTATTTTGACAGATATTTAATATCCTGACAAAAAGATTATCCTATGGTTTTATAATGTTTCTACGCTTTTAGATTTACATAACTTCTAGAGTTCCATTTTATGTCTAAGTTACATAACTAATCTTTGAAATTAACAACATTAAGAATCCTCCTCTGTCCCACAAAAAAAACCTTTGCAAAGTGAGTCAGAGAATTGTGGGCTGGCTGGATCTATTCAATACGGTGCTTAAAAGGTATTTTTAGATTAAAAAAAAGTATTTGGAGGGCAGATTAGAAAATACACTCAGTCTTAAAAGACTAGACTAAATGGCAGAAGAAAAGGAAAGTAACTACTGCAACTCTTCACAGAAGCATAGTGGGCATCTGGAGGGGGAAAGCACACTTTAAAGTTCTGAGCTTGCACAGACTTGAGCTGCTATAGAATGAAGGCAGGAAAGCCGTGAGCAGCAGCAGACTGAAGCCCCGTAGGGCAGGGCTGTGGCTTCTACTCTGAGTCCTGGCACGTGGCACTTGGGTCTCGCCCCCATCAGGCCCTCGGACAGGCAGTGCTGAGGATGGGGACAGTGTGGCACACCTGTGTCGATTCTATCCTGAAGTCACACTTACACACAATCTCCTGAAGAAATGTGTATTATTATTACCAAAGGGGTCACCACAAATGTTTTAAGTTGAAATATAGACTATGGTCCACATAATTAGGTCTACAAGAGGACGGGGGATGAATTTTCAGTTTTTCATTACTAGAAAACTAGACAGACGCCTGGACTGGGCTCATGATGGGCTTCAAGTGAAAGCATATGCAAATCTTTCTGAGAAGGGGATCAAAAGTTAAGAGCAGATTCTAAACTGTACCATACCCCTAGAAAATGATTAAGCAGCACTAATATTTTTTTTAAGATAAATATATAAAATGTAGATTTTTGCTTGATACAAAAGAAATTAGGAATATATTAATAACGTAAATTTTTCAACACAGAAAATTCAAACTTTACGGAAATATAATTTTTCAGAGACCCCAATGTCTTTACAGCCCAGAATCTTTTTGCCTATTTTGTTTCTGATGTGGCCATTTATCACCATCTAATGGTAACCAATGGAATAACAAAAGAGATGAATGAGATCTGGAAATTATGTTATAGTTCCAAAATTTTCTCCAAAGCCTTTACTATGAAAAAAAAAAAAAAATCTGATAAAAATTGATTATTTCAAAGATTTTGCCACCTGAAAAAATCCCTGGAAAAATAAAAACTGAGTTCACTCCCTGACTTCAACAACCTGCTAGGTATATCATCATTCCGAAATAACAATTACATGTGCAATACTCTGACCTCCCTAAAAATTCTATGAAATTTTTGTGTCATTTATTAAATGACTGCTAAAAAAATACACTTCCATCAACTTTAAACTTTTACATTCAGGGCTGGCCTGGTGGCGCACTGCTACAGTGCGCCGCACTGCTACAGTGCGCCGCTTGGGAGTGCGGTGGCGCTCCCGCCGAGGGTTCGGATCCCACATACAGACCGGTTCCCGCTCACTGGCTGAGCGAGGCGTGGGAGCAACACCGAGGGTTGCGATCCCGTTGCCGGTCCCGGTCCGGTACGGGGGCGACACTGAGGGTTGCAATCCGTTGCCGGACACGAAAAAAGACAAAAAAAAAAAAAAAAACCTTTTACATTCATATGATACCTTAAAATAAAAATTAAATAAGATATAATCTGGAAAGAATATAGGCCTTCATGATTAGTAGATTATGTTGGTGGGTTTATTTTATGACCTCTCTCTTAAAAAATGTAAACTGTCTTCCTCATATAATGTCCTAATGAATCACCTTCGAGAATAGCCATGGAAGTTACAAGAAAGAGGTACAAATAATTTTGTTTTACACAGAAGTATTAATAAAGAACTGGTCTGGAGAGGGACAAACATGATCACTTTACACAATACGGGTTTACGGGTGGGCCCGTCAGTTTCACGGGCTGCCGGGAAGGCACATCCCACCGCAGGCTCATACCAGGAATCCTGTGCTGAGCCCATAAAGCCAAATAAACATGTCAAACATGTGAGTGGCTCCAGCATTACTCAAACCTAGCACCAACCAGAACGATTATCTATTGAATGTCATACACATCACCAAGACCCTGCCTTCCACTTTCCAAGATAATTTGATAAATTAATCTCTGTTCTTAGGTAAAGGGCTCAATTATATTTATTGGGAGAATCATATATATATATGTATATATTTTTTTTCTTTTTTAAAAGAAAAAGCATAACCATAATAGTCTAAATTACAGGCAAGTGGGGGAGACCCTGTGGGGCAGGCAGACTTGCAGTGGTACCAAGTCATTCCCATTCTCCCAACCCTGAGCTTACTACTGAAATGAGGTCCTTAGCTTCGTAGGATGGCATGTTCTACAAAGAACAGTGGCCAGTGTTAGGAGCCCTGGAGACTAAGGAGGAGAACTCAAATCACTTTGTCTTATTTCCACATCTGTCAAATAAGGCTCTCAATCCAGTGTAAACATTGCATAACCTATGCTTACTGCTTCCTGAACAAAAGCGTGTGGATATGTCAGAAATGTGTAAAATATGAATACACACACTTGTGTCCAGGTCTTGATGACATTCCCTGTACTTCCAACCTTCAATGACATCAGCTTTCCTATATGCATGCCAGTCTTCCTTGATAGTGCCAATCTCATCCTGATTCCACAACATCTAAAACACCCCACCTGCCTCACGTTATTCTTACTTCTGAATTATCATGGCGTGATAGGCCATCTTCCAGACAGCACTATATCCAAATATAAACTAGAGAAGAACTTCATAATAGACAAAAGACATGAGTATTTCTATAATATGCACATTCAAGCAATATGTAAGGACTGTAGCAACAAAGATACCAACTAAATGTTAGCTAACCAGGAGGAGTCAAAAAACAAAGGAAAGAAGGCAAGACCCCATGCCACCGCTGATGGGGGGCCCCAGGCAGGCAGGCAGGAGACCCACCCAGCCCACTGCCCAGACCCTGGCCCCAGCCCACACACAAGGCAAGACCCCGTGCCGCTGCCAACAGGGGAGGCTACAGGCAGGCAGGAGACCTGGCCAGCCACCACCCAGCCCCCTGCCCTGACTGCGCAGAAGGCAAGACCCTGTGCCACCACCACAAGGCCTCGATACAGCTTTCACAGAGGTGGTCCACAACATCCACCACCACAGCTACTACTGATGGCAAGGACAGCTCACTGCCTTAGTAACATCCATGACCACCATGCAGGTAGCTCACCACATATCTGACTTCACTGACACAAGGAGAGTCACTTGAGTAGCCTGGAAAAAGAGGAAGAAGTCTTTCTCCTCAAAGTAAACACCAGAGTAGTAGAAGAAGCAACAGATCTACCAAATGACCAGAAATCAATGTAGAGATACTAGAAATATGAGAAAATCAGAAAATACAACACCACTAAAGAATTCAGTAATTCTCAAGTACCAGACCCTACAAAACAGGAAACCCTTCAAATGACTGAAAAGGAATTCTGAGTAACTATCTTAAGGAAACTCAATGAGATAAGAGAGGACTCTGTAAGACAATACAATGAAACAAGAAAAAATATCCAGGATATGAAGGAGGAAACTTACAAAGAGATTAATACCTTAAAAAAGAATGTAACAGAATTCCTGGAACTGAAGGATGCATTCAATGAAATAAAAAACATGACAGATAGCTTAAGCTGCAGATTAGAACAAGCAGAAGAAACAGTTTCTGATCTCAAAGGTGGTCTTCATGAAATAACTTAGGCAGACAAAAAAAATGAAAAAAGAATTTTAAAAAATGAAGAAAGTCTAAGAGAGCTAGACAACCTTAAGCACACAAACATCCAAATCATGGGTGTTCTATCAGTGGAGCGGAAAGGCAAAAGCATTGAAAATCTATTCAATGAAACAATAATGGAAAACTTCCCAGGTACAGGGAGATACACAGAGTTTCAGATCTAAGAAGTTCAAAGATCCTCAAACAGTTTCAATTCAAAAAGATCCTCTGGGCCGGCCCTGTGGCTCACTCAGATGAGTGTGGTACTGTTAGCACCGAGGCCAAGGGCCTCAAGGACAACTTGGCCAAGTCAGAGTGCTGCCTAGAGTTGGCCCTGCTTTAATTAAGCTCCAAGAGTTGACTTTGCTTATATAACAAACCACATTACTTGGGCCAGTCCCGTGGCTTACTTGGGAGAGTGCAGCGCTGGCAGTGCCGAGGCCACGGGTTCAGATCCTACATAGGGATGGCCAGTGCGCTCACTGGCTGAGCGTGGTGCAGACGACACCAAGCCGAGGGTTGCGATCCCCTTACCACTTAAAAAAAAAAAGATTCTCTCTGAGATACAATATAGTCAAACTGGCAAAACTCAAAAGACAAAGAGAGAATCCTAAAAGCAGCAAGGGAAAAGCATCAAGTCACTGATAAGGGAGCCCCCATCAGACTAACAGCAGACTTCTCAACTGAAACTCAATGGGTGAGAAGAAAATGGGATGAAATATCCAAAATAGTAAAAGAAAAAAACTTCCAGCCAAGAATACTATACCCAGCAAGGCTATCCTTCAGAAATGAGGGAGAAATAGTGTATTTCCCAGACAAACAAAAATTGCAGGAGTTCACCACCACACGACCAGCCCTGCATGAAATTCTCAAGGGAGTCCTGCATCTGGAATCTGAAAAATAATACTCACTACTACAAATACACAAGTAAGAACAAAACCCAGTTGTAAAACACAAATGCAAAGGAGAAAGATAAAAGAAACTAA